ATCATTTACGATTGTTTGGCTTTGTCAGCAGACGTGACATATTATACTGAACATGGGCAGATACCTTTTATCACAAAATTTTACCATAAATATTGTTTGCCTCGCTGGATTTGCAGGTGATGGATACGATGGATATATATGTATCCGCAAAACGGTGAACGAAAAAATGAGGGGCCAAAGATTCAAGCAGTATCGCGGGTATGTGCTTATGAGTAAATCGTTTTTAGCAAGCTTGTTTGAGTATCATTTTGATTTAGTTTGAGTTCGTGACGCTTATTTCAGTTTCCATTGGTAACAACAATTGGTTTAGTAGACGTTACGACTGGATACTGAGCCAAAAATATACTCAAACAACATTCAACATTATACAACTTTTTTGGCCGGATTGACAACCCCTTATGCTCACATGTTCCAAGGGATTATTAGATTTGAACAAAATTATCAAGGAATCGAACAAATCTGGTCAGGGAAAATCCAAACCCTCGGAAAGCCACATCGGCTCCTGCAGGGTAAGCTCTGGTAGATGTTCTAGTCGCAAGTATAATGCAGATAAAAAGGTCATTAACATTTCTCAGTTGTCCAGTAACCATGCACTAGAGGCTCATCGCCGAATCAGTTCAATGCAAGGAAGATAGGGTTCCTCAAAATACGTCAAGTACCACTTCCTCGTTTCATTAGTGTGGCAAATATCTGAGGTTAAATTGAAAGTCTAATATATGTACTGGGTTTTTTCAGGTCCATAACCACTCGACTTGATTCTAGTCATTGACGGTAACGGAGCTATGCCAGTTGAGTATCTGTCATATGGGCTTGAAGCTGACTTTGATGATCTTATATTTTTGACTTTATTCAGCGTACATATCTTAGATGAGTGAGAACTAGGGGATGGAGTGTGTATTGATTGAACGTGGGATGTGTCATTGAAGCAGTCCGGCGAGTGCAGCATTAGAGACGTCTAGACGAGCAGATGACACCAATCAAGGGACCTTCACTTCTCCCGACTGCATAACGTTCTTCGGGGCAGCTAAAACGTACCTACAGGCCTAATGGTGTGGCTCATCACGCCTACTCAGATCGCCTTAAGCCCAACTCACAGATCGTCAGTTGAATGTCTGCATCACACGTGAGTCACCCCGACGCGACGGCAGCGTGAGGCTGATCGATAGTTTAGCCGTCATGTCCTCACCTCGAGCAGGTTGGACGGGGGTGATGCAGCTGATCCAATATGCTGGAAGAATGGGCGTCGTTGACTTGTAAAGAGCGATACCGACTGTCCTACGAATTATGGCTCCGAGCATCATGTAAGTGTCGGCTATCATTGGAAAGGCACTGGCAAGGCGTTGGTTTTCTGCAGTGCCTTCGAGAAAGAATATTAAATTATACATTTAAACTATTGTTGTACCGGCAACTTCCAGAAGATCCCATTGCAACTGTCTTTAGGCAAACCAAATCCGAAGAAACTTGCTCTGAATTATTTTATCAGATCGTAGATTTAGGAACATAAATCAACTTGTTGAGTATGGACACAGTGGTGAAAATAATCCCCTCCACAGTGTGTTTTGTACAGAAACCTTTTGCTTATTTAAGATTTCAAGAAAAACTCGCGTAATTTCAGATGTCCTCTGTGAGCAAATTTACCCAGCAAGTGTATTAAGGACCCCAGTTCTTACTATTAGTTGAAACCCCAGTATTTTCTGATTCGGCGCAAGCAGTGGTCTTCGTTATGCTTCGTAATGGTAGCGGACTGAGGACTTATAATAATAACAGTAATTATATTCTTGATAGCGGTCGTATTCGTTCTACTGATTGCTGTAAAGGTATTGGTGACAGTGTTTCCAACACTTGAAATAGGGCAGCGGAATAAAATCAGATAATAATGGCCCCAAACATAAGTGGACCCATTAATAAATTGGCGCCTTCATAGGACTGACTCCAATTATCCTGTGGCCCAGTTTAATCGAATATTAGTTCTACAACAGCTTCACTCAACAAATTACTGCATTATGGACGAACTGTTTGATGGCGTAAAGTCCTATTGTCATAAAACTGACCTATGTTTTAGTCAAAGTGCATCTTCGTGCAGCATATGACGGCACTTATGATCACTTTTGGCAGGCTAAGGTCTACCGTGTGAGATCTTAGCAGGCTCGAAGAGTTCAGTGGAACAGCAAAAACCAAGGTTATTGCAAAATTTGAAACGAATCCTTGAGAAACCCGGTAAGAGTTAGCTGAGCTAACTAGAATAATGTATTATCAGAAGGATAATCGGGTTTCAAAGGGCTTTCATCGTCTACGTTTCGGTGACAGATGACAGCTTTTGGTTATTTAAATTCAAAATTAAGAAGTCTTACCGTTGCCACTAAGAAGAGTTGATGCGGGCGCTTACGTTTAGTATGGCTATTGCTGCAAACAAAATACCGCAAATTTGGGAAAGAATGGTAATCACTCACAAACCAACACAAGCAGGGTTGCAACATTGATAAGTGTGCAGTCCAATCTCAAGCCTTTTAAGTCACGTCAGGATGCTGGCTCTTCAATGAGCTTAACAGTGACTGTTTACAAAAAACAGATTCTTTAAAAAGTGGCTATTTAAATAGTACGCATTTTATCATGGATTTTAAATGCATTTATAAATTCACATATATTTTATGAAAAACGCAAACTAAAATATTCTTTCTTGTACTCGTTTGGTAGAAAATTAGGCCTTCTTCGAAGTTCATACTTAAAGAAAAAATGTTCATCGATTTTTGAAAAATGTCTCATTACGATATTTTGACGAACGTGAGGTGTTCATCAATAATACATCATATTCGTTAATTTAGTAATGCTGCATATAATGTTTACTGCACGATACATATCTATGATAAAATATTATGAGAACTTTGCGACCTCTTCCTTTTAACCATAAACAGACACGTTTTTTCCTTAAACAAGATCTATATAGCATGCTGTTTGGAAACCGAAAATTCAGGTGTAGCAGTCGGTAAATTTCCAAATTCAGAAGAGTAGGTGGCGAGCATACGTATAATTTCGATAAATTCTCATCGGGCCAATTACATTTATATGGGAAGGGGTAAAAGGTAAATGGTAAATTGCAGGTAATAATGTTCATAGTTACAGGTAAGTAAGTCATGAAAATAGGGGAGGGGGGGTTGTAGCTTTTACCTTTTCCCATATAAAAGTGGCCCGATGAGAATTTATAGAAAGTATACGTATGTTCACCACCTACATTTCTGAATTCTCTGATGGGGATTTTCGCAACTTTAAATTTCCAAATTATTCGGCAATTAAGAAACTACTTTAAAATCGAAAGATATACTTTCTTTAAATATAAGACCCAAAGAAAGCATACTTTGCTACCAAATGAGTACAATAAATAATATTTTCATGCATGTTCTCTATCAAATAGAGTTGAATTTATACAGGAAGTCAAAACCAATGATACAAATGCATGCTATTTAGTTAAACATTTTTTCAGGATCTACGTATTATAAACAGCCAGAAAGAAGCTCATTTAAAAGCCGGCATTTTGACAAAACTGAAAACATTTGAGATTAGACTGCATTGCAACTGGACTTAATGTTGGTTTGTGGGTGATTAACAGTCTTTCGAAAATTACAGCATTTCGCCTATAGCACTGCAGCCATACTGTATGTTTAGTAATATAATTACCAATGCATCGATCAAATTTTATGGAATGGTCAGGTTAACGGGAATATTATAAGAGATGCGACCGTAACTAAAGCATATGTAAGCTCTTATCGCGGTTACAGCTGATTTGCATGAAAATGATCAGATGAATGCCTAGCTCTCCTTTTCGAAATAACTCATATCCGCTGCTTATTTACTAGTTATATCAACTTTCCGGTGAAAATATTGCAGCAAGTTTTCTACTCATTGCTGTGTAATTTTGAGCACTCGTACCCACTGCATGATAGCTGCCATTTAACGCGAAAGTCAAGTTTTCATCTGACTATTGGAAATAGTTGTTATCATACCAAAGGTGGTTTTAGCATCACTATCGTAACTAGTGTCATTATAAGCCACTCATAAGTTAAATTTGCAAATCAGGTAGTGGATTGGTCTCCACAAGAGTCTAAAAGTTTTGACGAAGATAAGTCATCATTGTCAGAAAAAAACGATGCAAAACTGTATCGCGGTGCAATAGCTACGTAAAAAGGAAGAACGTACCAGAGAGACAAGAGTTGTTTTTGAGAAGTTAACATCCTAACATGGTGCGGATATTATCAGGTGTCAGTTGTTAGTTATGCACAAGTTATAACATATAAGGCGTTGGAGACTGAGAGAGATAGCAATTGTCCTTGGGAAAACGCGCGTAGATAAAAGCTTGCCTTGGTTCGTTTAAGTTAGCCCTCAGATTATTTTCTAGCCCTATCTCCTATCCTGTGAACTTAAATAAATAGAGTTCGTCACATGGTGGAAAATAATTAAGACGACGGAAGCTGTATTCTCGCACACCTTGAAAATAAGACTCACGGAGTCGATACTAATAAGGCCTTGCAGGTCGGTTACCGGACGCCAACCAACTTCTCCAGAGGCCTATGCCAACGGGTGCTTGCAACAGCTGAAGCAGTGGCTATACGGCAAACGAATCGAGTACTGTTTTGTCAGAAAACGCTAAAACAAGCCCTTTCCCTTCGGTGGCTGACGCCGACGCCAGTGACGACCGCACATCTTCCTACCCACCAGTGACGGTCGCTTGCTCTATACAAATGATAGTGATCACTCTATGCAACTGACCCTTGACCGATGCCCACAACCTAACCCAACACGCCGATCCTTACTAGCCAAACTGACATAGCCCGCAGTAGCCAATCGGCGCCCACTACAGCCAATTATTGATCATTCTACACGTTTTAACTTTAATTCTTTTGCAAAGTTACTGGTCTGATGAAGATTCGCCGAAAATGTGTTTGCCAAAACTGACTTTTCAAATGAAACATGCAAATGTTTACAGAAAATATTTTTTTTTAATGTAAGACGGTTAAATTTAAATTTTACAATACTGTCCTGGAAACCATGACCGACATGTTTTCGAAATCATAATCAACAATGGTTTACAGTCTGGTATATAGTGAATCCCACAAAGGCTCAGAACTAAGTAGTTACTACTGAAAATATAAATGTATGGCATAAGTAGCTGTACAAACATGTATGCGTAACTGATTAAACTATTAAATTTCCTAAATTATTTTAGTGTTTCTTCCATTAAAATAAAAGTTTTACAGTGATTTGAAAGTGTGCGAGTGGTCTCATGCTAATTTGGATATTATAATGACAATCGATGCAATATCAATAATTGTGAGGAGGTTCTCCACTCCATGACATCGAAAACGCAGGATTTTTCGTTTGCTGGGGTTTTTGGCTTTGAAATAAGCCTAATCTACAGGTGTGCACTTACTTTGCTCACAGAATGACAAGGAGTAAATTTTGACTCACAAGACCTGTCTTTGTTAACCCGCCGCGAGTACACTGCAGGTCATTTCATGCGGTGTGTTTCTCACACCACGGTTAAGTGCACGCGTTACGAAATTTTTTTGATTGTGTAATCTTAAAAGTTAACTCAGAATTACTTTTTAGGGCTTCATCACAAAGGTTTAGGAACGTTTAAGCAAAAAATTAAAGCTGTTTGCCATCGATCCATTTATAACACAATTTTTGTTTTTCTGCTGTCTAAGGACTGAGTTTATGCTGTCAGCATAAGCTAAGTCACTCACCTTGTTTTGAAAATGTCTGGTTTTATTGAACCATGCGGTTTGAAATTAAAGAATCTGGAAGAGGACAAATGCGATGAGTGACTAAAGTGCATGAGGTGTTATCCCATGTAATACAACTGTCAAATGCTGGTTCATAAGTCGCTATCAGGTCTAACTTTCTAGAGGCCCTAGTGTTTGATAAAACATACCTTATAGAAAAGTTTCATCTCTCCCGTAAGACACAATTTTTCACACAGAACTTCCATGATCTTGCAACGGAAACCGCGCACAAATGTAAATTTACTTTAGACTGCTGCACAGCCGTTTGTAGGCAGTATCCATTATTTAAACAGCTAAAACGTATAATTCTGCAGAGTTGGTTTACAAAAACATTTCTAACGATTAAAAGATTGAATAAAGACGACTAGAATTATTAGTTGCAATCCACTCACCTTCCTCAGCCAATCGTGTTCCAATGCCAGGCAGCAAGCACTCGAGTTCGCGTTTGATTTTGTGGTCGATAGACTAAATGCCCTAACTTTCAATTATATGACCTAGAGTGGAGACTAAAAACAAACCTTAACGTTCGTAATTCACAAAGGCTAGACTTACGGCCAAACTCTCCGAAACGTAAACGAGAAACAAACCCGTTCCGGTGGGCAAAATTA